ACTAGCTTCCTATTAAATGTTCCCCAGAAATGGGAAGGGCAGCTGTAAGTGCTACCACAAGCCGAGAGAAGCATTCATAGGAAGGAATGTTCACAAGGTTCAGGGAGGGAGAACACCTAAAGATATAAAGTTATTCTACCAATGTTCAATTTGCAGAGGGGAAAAAGCCAGTTATTATCAAAAGTATTAAAGGTCTAAGACTTTACTCCTTGCAAGCTGAAAAACTAGCCTGACACAGACTTTCAGATGCTGGTGGGAGACATGAAATTCCTAAATCAGAGATGAAAGCAAGTTTGTTATTCACAGCCAAAGCAGTAACCATAGTATCGGCATTTTTGTGTCAGTTCCTGGAGCCCCAACACAGTAACAGTAGGTTGTGTTATAGGAGAGGAACCAAGAGCTTAGGGAATGTGAACCTTTTATAATGTGTATGAGTGTGCCTGTGCTTTGCCCTGGAGAGAAACATTATTACACTGGACCGTAAGTATGCTTGCCCTTGGCTCACAAGAAGTGCAGTGCCTCGCTCACTATGTGTGAGAAGTAAGATGTACAGAAATACTAGAGACCCAGGGAGAACTGTCTCCCAATAGTCATCAACAGATAAACTATCCTACACCCATCTCCGAGTCCTCAGAGTGTACGTGTTTCTCTTACACTAGTTTTAACTATTTCTAAAAGGATCTCAAAGAAACCAGAGGCTAATAAGAATATGTAAAGACAAGGGAAGATCCCTCAGTGTAAAAAAAATAGGGTTACACTATTACCAGGGAGAATTGATGCTATTTGTCCTATTACAGATGATAGGCACTCTATTATGGCTGTCTGTAAAGAAAATAGCTGCAGAAAACATCTTCCCAGAGAGCTTATCTTGGTAGAGATTCATTAAATGGATTAATAAAGCATATCATTTCCTTCTCTTAAAAAAAGTTTTATGAAGTTTCTGTCATCCTTAACTCTAGAATAACAGTATTCTACTCTGAGAGATTTGGTTCTTCTTGAAATGTTGATAGATGTGACAAAAGAAACAGTTCCATGATCAAATAAAGGTAGAAAAATGCTAGGTTCGGCAAAGTTAACAAGTATTTTTAATGCAGGACTTCTCGAGGCCCTAAGCATGTCAATATGCATGTTAATCTCTAAGAAGGATACAGTATTCCCCAAGGGAGTGTGACCGCAGGACACCCACTTCTCAGGGTACTCAAAGGGGGAGTACTGCAGAAAGCTGCGTGGAAATGTCTGGGCAGAAGAATGATCTCACTGGCGATGGACGGCGAAGACGAAGGTGCTTTGGAAATTTGGGGAGATGTTGCCTGACTAGTCTGCCCTGCTTTAGACAGATTTCCCAAAGGCAGCAGAAATGGATGCCTTCCTGCTTCCTAGATTCCATGTGGGTGATTATATCCATTACTGATTACAATCTAAGAAATATAAACATGTATTATTTTAAGATTAATGTGAGAAGTTTTAGCACTAAACCAGTCCTAAGAAATCGCCTATTTTAACCCCTTCATTTCACAGAAGGAGACTGAGCTTCCGAAGATACTAAGAGGCTTGTTTCAAGTCACAAAGTTAGTCAACGGCAGAGCCACACCTGGAATTCGGGACTCATTAATCCCAGTTTATGTTCTTTTCACCAATAGCAATAAAAGGGACGATTAATGATCACTATCATTGATAGCGACGAGGTAAAATAGGACTTCTTCTTGCCCTCCCTCCCCCAGAGAAGTAAATAACGTGAGTAAATTTAGGAAATTAATAAATGGATTTCAGAAAGACTCAAAAAATATATCTTGTATGGTATCTTCGAAGCATCTGAGCATAGTTATAGCATCTCTAAGCATACAAAGCACCATCCATGACACTGGTCTTTTAAAGAGAGAGTCGTGTTTACATGAGTAACAAGAGCATCTTCAATTTCACTACTCTGGTAAGGTTTCTTTTTTTTCTTTTCTGGTAAGGTTTCTTGAGCCATCGATCTTTACGCCTCAGAAAATGAGAAGTTTCTTAGTCAGAGGAAACAAGCCATGCTTTAGGCTTGAAATTATGTGCTTTGTCAGAGCTGATTTCACTGAAATTTGAAGCAGGTCAATGTTAAACTGGATCCGAGATGTTCTATAGCACTTTCTATATACACAATAAAATACAGTGTTAAGAAACGGCTGAAAATTTCCAGTCCTGTGAAAAAAATGAGTTACCTTTCTTAGGAGATGTATTTTTAACCTATTTTTTAAATAAATAAGCAAGTTCTAAACCCCTTAAGAGTATTTCATTGTCTTTAGCATAATTCAGTTCATGGCTAGAGCCAGTCATTTGCCAATTTAATTAATGAGTTAATAATACATGAAAGTTCTTAGATCAGAGTCTGTATGTGCTAAATAATGGCAAGCAAATATTATTCAGTAAGATTTAGTTATAGCAGTGATATTTGGGTACAAAAAATCACTGCCGAGAATGTCAGACTAACTTTTTACTTTAAACTTATACTGCATACCTATCAGGTGAAAGTTGCTTATCACTGGACCATATAAACAAGGACTCCAAGATGAGGCCCTGTGCCCGGTATCTTTCACACTGCCTAAACTCAGAGCCACCGCACTTCAGGGTCTTTCCTTAAGAAGTTTGCTTTCAATCATAAACTGCTTTTCAGTTAAAGCTGAGCTGTAAAATCATCTCAGGAAGGCACATTTAGGGTGTGAGGACACTATGGGGAAAAGCACAAATGAATGCAATTTCAAAAACCACTGAACAAAATCATTAACCTTACTGAGTATACTTGATAGATTCCATTTAAAAATAAATATACTTTTGCCATTGCCATTAAGAAGTAAAGTAGGAGAACTGTGAAATTAGACTTGCCCAGGTCCAAATCCTAACTCTTCCACCATTGGTCACATGACCTCTGGCTAGTTACATGATTATAATGTGTCTCAGTTTTCTCCTCTGTCAACAGGAGAAATGAACACTGACTGCCTAGTGCAGAGCTGTGGTCATCACACAAGATAAGATACGTGAAGCTTGTGTGTACTTAGCACATCGTGTGTACATACTAAGTGCTTATTCGTTGTTATTATTTCCGAAGAGTATCTCACAAGTTAGTGGCACCAACCACTTCTATTTTGTGTGTGTGTGTGTGTGTGTGTGTGTGTGTGTGTGTGTTGGGGGGACATAAGGTACAAAGGGATGATTTTAGAAGATGTGACCTACAGTTTTGTAGTATTCTAATTTTAGGTTATCAGCACCACCACCTTCCCCTCTGGCACAAATTCCCCTGCTATTTTAGGGTCAAGACCACATTTGACCACATTACCTCTTGGGCCAATGTCTCACAGGACATTTTCTAGGGGGGGGTTTAATTCTCCCTATGCTAGCATTTTTAATGGCATAGAGTCAAAGACTTCAAAATTGTTGCTGCAGGTGGGTTTTATCTTGCAGCTCTTCATTCAGAAAGTGCTAATGGTTGCAACGGTTTTAAGAGCTGAAACTCAAAACAAAAATATTTCCTGTGACCTCAGGATCCTTGCCACAGATCTCAGGATTAGTCTGGGGAGCAGATGTGCACAGGGTGGTCAGAGAACACTGGTGGTATCAGTGCAGAATTAAATTTTACTTTCACTATTACTAGGCAGGATCAACTGACATCAAGTACCAAACAAAGCAAAAATGGCCTTAACAAATAAGGCCAGCGCTGCAAAATCAAGGCTTAAGCAGATACATGTACATAATAATGCATTTTTAGCGTAAACTCTTTATGACTAAAGAATCCAGATGGGTTCTAGAGCCTTTAGGTTGATACACGCTATACTGAAAGTCAGAACCAGTACAACAAACTGAAACACTTTAAAATTCATTCTGTCAGCACTGAATACCAGGCTCTGCGCTAAGTGTTGACATAGAGATGAATAAAGATCCAGTGGTAAAGCAAAAAAGTAGAGATAAGTAGCAAGTGCTGGGACAGCACAAGGAAGGGAGAATTGCCCTTGTCTAGAGCCAGCAGAGGCTTTACAGAGAAGGCGGCTTTTGAAACATGCCTTCAAGGAATGACATAACCCAGCCTGCATTCTAGCTAACAACCCTGTAGCTAACAACAAAGAATATAATATAATTACCATCTCCCTAGGCCCACTAGTTGCAGGTATTTTTTTCCCGAGATCCTTAAAAAGTAGGTATCAATGTTCCAATAGATAGATGGGGAACTGGGGTTCAAATTAAGTTCATAGTCCCATAGCTGCTAAGTAGTGGAACCACGATTTGTGCCCCGATTTGTCTGTATCATCATGGCCCTGCACTGCCCAGGAAAACCTTCTTTGCTTGCTACTAGTACATGGTTAACTGGTAACTATGTAGAGTCTAAGTGTGCGAAGTCATTCTAGAAGGCCAGCTACAATGTCAAACTTTGGCCTGCAGAACTGGCTATTCAGTGAAAGGTCAAGATGGTGGCTCCGTATAGATACACAGTGCCCTCTCCTTTCTCTGAACTCCAGTCGTGTTTGGAATTGTTTATTGTGGTTCATGTGCACGCCAGGTTTCCTCTCCCACACCCTGTGAACACCTCATGTTAGAGAATATGCCTTATATTTCTTTAAGACTCTCGGGGTCTAGCATTCTCACAAGTTGGCTGGCTGACTGCTGATTCGCCTGGTGCTTTACTGAGGACTAAGTGTGAATATTGAGTTGAGCTAGATTGACTGAGGTGAAGTGATTAGACTTAAGGTTTTCATGCTATACAATAACATTTAAAAATAGCGACCTAAGCAGTATTACATAGTGGTTTTCAGATGAGTGCCCCTCAGACTTTAGTGTGTATGTGAATCACCTGTCCACACACAGTAGAACTATTCAGTTCATCCTATTAGAAAGCAGGCACAGAGTAGACAAAACTATTGCAATTAAGCAGGTGGAAGGACAGAGTGGGGAGACTCAACTTGTGGGGTCCATATCCCACTCCCAAACCTTGTTGCTGTTCTCAGTCCTATTGCTTTCAGGGCAATGAAGAGTAGTAATAAGAGTACATAACAGCTACCTTTATTGAGTACTTACAATGTGCTTGGCACTGTTCTTGCTGCTTTAAGCATGTTATCTAATTCTCATAGTACCCTATAGCAGTTAGATCGCTGATGATTTTTTTTAAGTGGCAATTACTTCTTTACATTGACACATGAAGAGCAGTATTCCTGGTTCTTCTCAATCCAAAGTCTAGGGCTGAATCTTCCTTGACACTGGGTAGCACAGGAGCATTTCAGGGATGCTTAAGCTTGAGGTCAAGGTTCCAATGGTACAAGAGAGACAGAGGTGTGCTCGGAGAGCACTTGCAGGACAAGGCTCACCACAGGAGGCTTGTGCCCTTAGTGCTTGCTTCCTGGAGTCTTTAAATACATCTTGGTGCTGAACATACCTCACAGAGTACCCGGTGGCTTGCAAGGTACTTGAAATGTTTAGCAAATTTCTAAAGTCAGTCTCTGTCTTTCCCCTAGAAATACTCCAAGAATTTTTCCGCCTGATATCTAGGAGGAAGGCCCCACCCTAGATTTTTGTCTCCATCTAGGTTAATTAAGGCTGCTGTTGGAGCCATCTCCCAAGGGCTAAAAGGATTTAAAGTAGTTTTCTGCAGGTGGAGGAGCAAAAACAGTACTGGAATTGCAAAAGTGTAGGAGTTTTCCAGGTGAACTGAGGTAGGGGAGCAGTTAACGCCCAAGAGAACAACTTCTGCATGCATTTGCATTTTGGCTTGGAAATAGAAATGGGGTAAAAGGAGGTGCCTGCTTTCTTAAGGCTTGCTGGGTAAGAACAAATCAACCAGTGAAAGACGACTGACTACTCATCTATTAATTGCTCTATTCATGTACATCAGTCTTTTCCTGGCTACCAGAACAGAGCAGTTTTTAATTTTTGGTGCTTGTAAAATGGCTGGTATTGCTGAGGCATCCCGGAAGGCTTTATATTACTTAGTAATCTTGTCTGTACGTTTTTCCATATAGATTGTTGCCTGCTTTCAAGAAGGCAGCGTTTGCTTTTGCATCCTGAAATTGGGTAGGGGAGTGTGGAGGAGAAAAGCACGGTTCAGAGCAGTAAGAAAGAACCTCTCCCCCATACTCTTAAACCACAGGTGGTTTTGACATGCACGGTCAACTCCTCTATGCAGAACATGAACTTACAGGCGCGTTCAACATCAGCGTCCTGGGATCTTGCAGCCCAGCTGTCCCTGTCCCGGCGCGTGGGGGTCCTGCGGGAAAGGAGACTGCAGTGTCAAAGGGCTGATGGGCTTCATGGCCCAGGGAAATTAGCTTTTGGCTTCCTCTTTCCGCGTCGACCTCAGTGCGTCCCACGATCACTCCCGCCCTTCTGTTCCTACGCGGGGAGCGAAATAAGGGAGCGGGATTAGGTCTACTGTGACCTGGGTCCTTTCTAGGAGTTCCCAAAAGGGCTATTTTTAGTGGTAGCTGCCCCTCTAACTTACGGGGGGGGGGGGAGGAGGAGCTGCGGTGGCAGAGTGGATGCGCGCACCTGGAAGGCTCCGGAATTCCGCGCCTTGTTAGGACGGGTGCGTGTGTTGGATGGGGGTCAGTCACTATTCCCAGCCGATTCCCAGGGCAGAGCAGCCAGGTGGGCGGGTCGGAGGCCTGAGGGGCCCCGCGGGGCAGCGGCGGAGCGATTCCCCCCACATCCCGAAGAAAGCGCACGGTGCCAGGCGGCCGCCCTCGCCGGCCGGCCGGTGGCGCAGGGTGGTCTCCGCGGCGGAGGAAGCGCGCGGCGCGGCGCCCTGCGTCACAGCGGGGCCGGGACCGCGGGCCGGCGGGCGGCGGCGGCGACCCCGGGCCGGACGCTGGGCGGCGCTGGCTGCCGCGGGCCCGGCTGCGTGCGGGGCGGTGCTGGGGGCGGCACCGTCGCCCGGGGGAGGTGGAGAAGGGAGGGCTGCGGGGCCCGGGCGTTAGCTGCGTCCCGGCTCGGAGCCCGCGAAGAGGACCTGGAGGAAGGCGCCGCGGTGGCCGTGGGCGCAGTGCTCTGGACCCGGCAAGCCATGAACAGCGGCCCCGCGGGCCACCCTGCGGTCGCTGGCCGCCACTGAGCCCGGCCGGGAGACACCTCGCGGCTCCCCAGTACCCTCCGCAGTGGGCACCCTCGCGCGCAGAGGTAAGGGCGGGGACCGCGGAGGGATGGAGAGGGGCGGCCCGCGGAGGACCGTGGGCTCGGTCCGCTGGGTGCACTGGGGCCAGGACTTGCCCGGATTCGCCCCTCCCTGCCTTCTCCCGGCTCTCGGGGAGGCGGCTTGTGGTCGCCTGCCCAGCGTGTGGTCCCTGAGCCCTGCACGGCTGGGGCTCAGAGACCCGCCAACCCTGCTCCACCCATCCCAAGCTTCCGGACGCGGGTCCCCAGCCTGGCGCCAAGCGCAGCGCGGCCGCGGCAGGTTCTGCGGACTTGGGGGATGGGAGTGGGCGGAGAGGAGAAAACGGGGTCGACCCGGGTGGTCGCGGTTCTTTACTACCTTAAAAATCCCGTAGATTTTAGGGCCTGCCCCTTGTGGTCTGTTGACCCCTTGCCACCCCCGAGCCCCTGAAGTTAACACTTAGGGGACAGAGGAATTTGAAGGTCTCTGAAGGGACCGAGAGCGTGGTGCCGCTCCCTTGCAGGACCGGAGGGGAGAGAGGGCAGAGCCGGATCGCGCGGGCCCCAGGAGCCAGGTGTCTAGGCCAGGACCGCTGCTGTCTTGAACCCAAACTCAGGCTCGGTAGTCTTTTCCTTTCCAGTTGGTTCCCAGAAACGAGGTGGTTTAGTGATGGAGTGAACAACTCAGGGATCTTAGGACGTGCTCTGTAGACACCCATTCCTTTCTTTCCTCCCTCGGCCAGTTCTTCCCTCCCCCACCCCACGCCGGCCAATGTACATCAGATTCGTTTCTTCAGAACATAAGACACCTAGCCCACATCCTAGGATGGATATTTCAGTGTCAGGGCCAAACTTCTCTTGGTTTCAAATTCTCTTAAAGCATTTTAAACTCCCAGCAAACCAGTTAGGAAACGTTTTCAAGTCCCCATCTTCCTTAAAGTAAAAAAAAATAAGGGTCAATCAATCTCTGTGGGAGTGCTGGCTGTGGGCAGAGGGAGGCTTGAATGACCCTACTGAACGCAGCCTTTTGGGAGAGGAATAGGTACAGAAAATGGCAGCCCTATTGCAGTCTCTCACTTCTCACAAGAGCCCGGTCATGTAGGAAATGTAGCCTTAAGCACAGGTCGCATTTGGGACTGGTATGTAGCAGTGTCCTAAGGCATGCAGGAGACTTCTTCCTAGACAAGTCACTGACAATGCCATCTACTTGAGAGAGGAGGAAAAGTGCTGGTAACTCTTTGGTGGTCACAACACTGAAAAAGCACCAGAGCCAATCAGCTATAGAGGTGTATACATTCCCTGTGTATTTTAAACGATTTGTGTAAACCCAGAATGAAAGCTGAACTTCACGAAATTTGCTTCAGGTTTATAAACTTTGTGTCGAATATGTAGACGTAGATAACAGATTACAACTATAATCTGTGATTGTTTGCATCGCTTGTGACTTGTTTAAATAGGGAGGAACAAGGCTGCAATCCTGATTTGCTTTACTTTGGAGTCAGTTAACCTAAACAGTCTCTCTAGGTTAGGTTGTTTGTTTTCTTTTGAGGGGAAGAGGGAGAGGAATTGCACGGATGGATATTTTTCATGTTTCATATACGAGACAATGACCATGGATAGGGCCCACTAACTCAGCAGTCATATCACACAGCATGTTTAACAATACCAACACAATTATCAAAGCTTTTGTGAATGGCATTAATTTCTTGTTTCTCAGATTGACTAAGCACTTAATGAAGAGTATTTTTAGAAGGGAGTGCTTTTAGTAAAAAATATATATATATAATTTTCCACTTATATGAAGCTTATCAGTTTATCTTTTGAAAAGAATACAAAGTTAGCAATATTTTAACTTCTAAGTTATCCAGTTTTTATCAAACTGTTGTTACAGTTTGAGTTTTTAATAGTCTGTAGTATTTTTAAGTTATAGTCACCAATAACATTATAATAAAGCCCAAGTTTTTAAAAAATGGGGTAGAAACTTGTGTTTTGCCACACATTGTGCTCACAATTTAACCTGGTGTTACATACAGTCCAGTCCAGCTGCAGGACCAGACACACACTCTTCCAACAGATGTGTAAGGTAGATGATGCCATCCACATCTCACAGAAGGAAGAGGCTCAGAGTTTGTGACTTGCCCAAGACCATTCAGCTAAACTAATGCCTCAGTGAGGCCAGTCCCTTTTTAGTCTCAAAATAGACTTTTGCATTATCCAAAGCTCCCTCTTTTTTTCCCTGCATACATTTTCTGTCAACTTACCATTCAGACTCTCTGAAATAACTCAGGTCAAGGAAGTAAAGTCACCTGTCCAGGGTTTTTCATGTAATTAGATTTTAAATTTGGAATCAGAGCCGTCAGTTTCCTAAACCCTGTCCTTGCCCCTCACCTCTATTAAATGACTGATTAAGATCTTAACCTAATGGATGTTTCACTTCTGCTCATTAGTTGTTCTCATCCACGTGACGATGCTGGCCTCGTGAGCTACATACATCACACTTCCAAAGTCCGGCTGTACCTCCAGCCCTGGATCGCTTAGGAAGGCATATTGCAATCCACTTAATTTATCTTAAAATACAAATCATTCTAGATTGGCATGGGGCAAAGAACATAGCCTCAAGACAGGAAAATGTGGTATCAAATTCTGGCTCTACTGCACAGTGGGAGTGCCAACTAACTCAACTCACATGACTCCGTTTCTCTGAGCCCCAGTTCCCTCATTCGTGATGGGGTTCATAAAGCCCACCTGGTGGGGTGACTGTTTGGATTAAATGTTGTAGTACATAGAAAGGACAGCTCCTATCACCCAGCAGGTGCAGGTGAATGGGACAGATGACTACCGCTGGACCCTAGCTAGTGCTAATTGAAATTTCTGCTGTTTCACTTTCTGTATATTTTACATGCATCTAGTGATTCGTCAGTGTCGTCAGTGATTCACTTTTCGTATGGGTTACACACTGTCTAATCTGGCTGTTAGCATCTTTAACTTCTGAATCACTTCCTTTTTTTGTAGTCCTGATTTACACACATTTAGTTAAATTATGTAGCTTTTCTTTTGTTCCACTGTGTATGTTTTTTAGAACTTTATTAGCCACATTTTTAAAAGATTTTATTTATTTATCTTTAGAGGGGAAGGGAAGGAGAGAGGGAGAGAAATATCAATGTATGGTTGCCTCTCTTGCATCCCCTGCTGGGAATCGGCCTGCAACCCAGGCATGTGGCCTGACTGGGAATCAAACTACAGTACTTTGTTTCGCAGGCCCGTGCTCAATCTACCGAGCTACACCAGCCAGGGCATATTTTTTTCAGTTGGTCGGAAACTGATTTCTCACTCATGAAAGCCACCATGGCAAACCCCAGATCTCCCCACCACATGCCTCACCCTTACCCAAGCCTCAGCCACTGAAACTCTGCATCTCCCTCAAGGCCCAGCCTAACTGCTACATCCTGCCTGAGCTCATGTCCCTGGCGTTTTAAATCTTTTGTTCACTTACAATTCAGACAGCATGTACCCCTAGTGCTTTAAAAAATTTTACTTTTGCTTTTTCAGTTTTTTGCCCAAGTAATATCCTATGAAAAACTCTAAACTCTTTGAGGACAGAAATGTTGTTCTAGTTCTTGACAACCTTTGCTTTGTAACAAGCATAGACTGGTTCTATTTCCTGGATGAAAGATGAGTCGGATATTCTGAGAGAGAGTCTTATAATAATTAGGAAAGACACCAGGTTATTTGTCTCTGTTACATAATTGTTAGTAGCACCTCCCTCTTTATTTTGACACTTATTCATTCCAGTTTTCTCCACCAGTTTAATTGGCATTACATTTACTGGGAGGGATAGTTCTTGAACAAAGCCTTGGCTGTTAGCTACCATGTAAGACAGCACATCTTCACTAATAATGAAACCCTAAGGGGGTGTGATAACTCCCTTCAGTGCAGGTCTATTGAGCACATCAGTGGTATGTGAGTAGTTTGGCATTTTAGATGGGTAACAGTCCAGGTAGATTTTTTTCAATTAGGAATCACATGTACCAGAGGGAAAGGAATACTTACCTTTGAGAAAAGGTCAAGATAATAAATGAAGAGGATTCCTCTTTTGATTGGAAATAAGACTAATCATGGCCCAGCATGTAGGCTACCATGAGAAGGGATCTTCAGGAAAGAATTGGCCCAGAGAAAAGGCCCAGAGAGTCTCACCACAAGTATGAGAGGTGGAAAATATGGAACAGATAAAAGCAATGAAGCACTATAGTACCGTATGACTGAGGCCTGCTAGAGTTCGCTCCTTTCTGGACTATAGAAATAGGGAAGAGACTGTGGGGTCAAGGTGGGCAAGAGAAACTAGTGTGGCCCTGAAGATCTAGGACATTCATGTGCCAGTGCTGGCACAGAGGGCAAGAGGGTAATTTCAGAGCTTTGCCTAAACTACATAGTTTGGCAAAAACATACTGCAAATTTTCTAAGTATTAAAAGGTAGAGGATAACTGAACTCTTTCCTGCTATCAGGCATGAAACAAAAAAAATAACCCTGGCTGTCTGCATAGAAGTATAACAAATTCTGGGAGTGAATTTAGGATCATTTTCTGGTGCTGCATGGGTGTCCTTTTAAAATACGGTTTTGTAGTCTACAGTGTATCTAACTATGAATGGCAGTTGGTAGAGAAATAATAATAATGGTTCAGAAACTGAATAGAGTTCAGAAAAGAAGGGAAAATTGGCAAAATTTAAAAAATCAATTTTAAGCAAAATGCTTTAAAGCTGAGGGAAGTAACTGAAAAGATTTCAAATGACTGAAGTATTTTGAGTCGAAGGAATCCATGAGAACTATATGTTCTTTGAAGAGGCCCTGTAAGGACTGAGAAGAGGCTGTTCCCATGCTGGAGAGGGGTGGGAAGGTGGAGCAAGAGGAAAGTTTGTTTGGCAAAACCCAAAACCTGCCTGAAGGGCTGCAGCTGGAGAGAATCTAATGAAGCTCATGGAAGAGTGTTTCTCAACCTTTCTTTCATTATTACTCTCCTTCCCCAAGTTAT